AAGTGTGTAAGAAATTATTGTGCTCTGTAGTAAATTGGGAACTATTGCTGATACATACACAAAAAGATTAAATGTATTCTGAAAAGTTCTTATTGCAAAGGAAGGTGCTTTTATTTCTGATTTTAATCTTCTCAGTGGCTTTTGAGAATGAGTGAAAGTGCTGTCCTGGTGGAAACTGAGTGAAAAGGGATGTTTGATTGCAGTACCCAGGGGTTAGTTCTAGGCAGGAAATATGTAGGATCCCTTCCTTGTCTGCCAACAGATATATTACATCCACCACCTTACGTTCAATGGAAGGCAGTTTTGCACTTTTTAAAAAATCTTATGACTGCTTCTGAAAGATGTGGAAGAACCATACCCTGAAGTCCAAGTGTTTTTCTGATCTAGGTGTAGGTTTCATATGATGGTACAAAAACACAGCTTTCCATTTATAATAGCAGGAGAAATGCTCAACCATCACTAAAAGCCACGTTTGACTTATTTTCAGTTTCACCACGGTGCATTTACAGTTGTATACTGAAAGCCCTTGGAAGGCTGGCTGGAATCTTAAAGTTTGTTACTTGCGGATTATAGAGTTAAAATCCTCAGAATATGAGATGAGAGGAACTAAAGAGAAGTTTTAAAATGTTAACAAAAGCTTTATATTTTAGGAATGATTTGTGAGATGTGAACTAGAACTTAGCTTCTTCAAGTGGAGGATACTAAACCACTACCCTAACCACCACGACTAAGATGGGGCTGCATATAGACTAATTTGTTCACAATTATGAAGAACCAGGGGACAAATAAAGAAAAGAAGGACCTGGTAGCACAATTTGGAAGCACTGAAAAAGGGGTACCAGGGGACTAAGTGCACCAAAAAAATGAAATGGGACAGTATCTCCATCTTGATCATTTGATCCTCTTGCCTTTAAGTGCTGAATTGATACTTCTCAGTGTCCTTTGCCTTTCTAATACATCCCCAAGTCTACAGGTAATCCAGAAAGGAAACCTTACAAGGGGCTTTTTCAAAGCAGGAATATTTGCTAGTTTGGAGAGCTTTGGAAATATGCACAAATATAATAGCTGGGGGGGGTAAATTGAGAGGGAAAATTTGTGCAAGCTGAAGGGCTAAGAAGTTTAATGTTATTTCTAGGAGTATGCAAATTTCCTCTTCATTTACTTTCCAGCTGTTAAATTTGTGTAAATTTCCCTTCATTTGCATCCGAATCTAATAAGGACCCCCCCTCCCCTTTCTGGTACACCTGCACTTTTGGTCAACCCTCCAGCACCATTGTCAATGCTTCTGACTGGCACTAATGGATTTCTCTTTCTTTTCCCATTATTTCTCCCCTGGTGCTTTGCAACTATGTGCAAATTAGTTGATAGGCAGTCTCCTCTTGTCAGTTTCCTTGTATATTGTCTACTCAATTTTTCTGTTCCTTTGACTGCTGAAGCATACCAGAAAATTAATTAGCAAAGACTGAACGTATGGGTCAACTGGAAGACAGATCAGTAATAAGGTAAGATATGATACCATATGATAGACAGAAAGTAGCAGTGAATTGAAGTGAGTCCTGATGACAGTGAAAGTAGAAATGCAAAATCAGAACTGCAGCTGGATATTAAGAAATCAAAACTCATTAATCAAGAAGAAGTATATAACCTCCCAGTTAACAATGAATTATTTAAATTGTGAAAGATTTTACATACCTTGGCTCATTCATTAATTCAAAGGAAAACCATTGCTGAAAAATTGGAACACTGAAACATAGAAGGCAGCAGTGAAGGAACTAGAAAAGATAATCAAATTTAAGGTCTTTTCACTGGAGACCAAGGTCAAGATCATCATGTGTTCCCCATCACTGTGTATGTGTGTGAAAGCTGGATAGTGAAGAAAACTGACAGGAAAAAAATGATTCACTCAAAACACAATGCTGGAGGAGAGCTTTGTGAATACCCTAGACTCACAAAAAGAGTGTGTCCTAGATCAAATCAAGATAGAACTTTTGCTAGAAGCAAAAATGAGGCTGTTGTACTGTAGATCATCTGAGAAGGCAAGACTTCCTGGAGGAAGCAGTCATGGTAGAAAAAGTCAAATGCAGAAGAAGGAAAGAAAGAACAAATGTGAGATGAATTTTTCCTTAGAGTAATTTTTCCTTACATCAGCTGAGCAGGGATGTCATAGATAGGAAATTCTGAAAGGCTTTCATTCACAGGGTAGCCATAAGTCAAAGATGACCTGGCAGTGCAAAACAGCAACCAGAATGAAGAAAGGTCTGGGACAAGGAGACAAGAAGTTCTGCAGCAAATTCCCCTTAGGGCATGTGCCAGAAGCAGCAGGAGGACCTAGGGAGAAGAGGGAAAAGCACCCTGTGGCAAGCCCATTCATCTGTTGGGCAAAATGTGTTCCGTGAACA